TTACCTCACATTTCTGTTATATTCAAATGCACAGGATTAAATAAAATTCTGAATAACATTACTACGCCCAAAATGATAACAAATAGTATACGATTAAAAGGGTGAAAAAACACTGCCCACGCCATGCTAGAAAAAAAACAGTAACAACTACAACAAAAGCAACAACATCAAATACAGTAACAGTAGCTGCAACAACAACAAATTCATGTAACAACCATTTACAACAAAACTAAATAGGCTGCACACGTATAACAACAAAACCGATGCCCGTGAGCACACCCACTTCCACCTTTACCTCGCACCCTACCTCCCCCTCCCCACCGCCATGATACCTCGACACCACCGTCCCAGCGACACCACAGGGATAGTGCCTAGCGGGCCATTTCCCGTCAGCTAGCTCGCCTAAGGGACCCACTCGCGTGATGTAGTGAAGCGATTACACACCCTTTGGAATGAGAATTTGTGTTGCAGTACAGCCGAATTACGAAGGACAGGCCGGGGTGGAGGAGATACGGGGATGTGGAAGTGTGTGTGGGGGGTGGAAGGGCGGATGCAAGGGGAGTGTGGAAGTGGAGGAAGGGGATAGGGGAATGGGGAGGTTGAAGTGGAGGGTGTCGGGGTTGGGCAGGAGGTGACATTCAGGATTTTGGAATGCTGCATTTGGTATTTTTGGAATGTGGTATCGATATATGGAAATGGTGGTGACGGGATAGAAGACTGGAATTCGGAATTTTGGAATGCGGTATTTGATAATGCTTGTATTTACTATTTAGGGAATGTTGGAATGAAGTGTTTGGTTCACTATTTGGGAATGCTTGAACGTAGAATTTGGAAGTGTTGGAAGTAAATATTTTTGGAATTTTGGAATTCTGCAGTTTGTAATGATGGAATTCAATATATGGAGGATATTAGAATATACCATTATACTTAGGAGAAGTTGTACTTGAATATTTTAGGAATGTTGAGAGTCACTCCTTGAGGAGAGTTGGAACTTTTTGGGAATGTTGGAATGTATTTCGAGGATGGATTTCAGTATTTTGAAATGTCGATGTGTTGTACTTGAAGGGTAATGTAATACAATACTTAGGGATGTTGGAATCCAGAATCTGGGAATGCTGGTACGTAACAATTGGTAATGTTATAATTCGGAATCTAGATATTGGGAATGTTGTAATTCACTATTTCGGAATGTTGGAATGTTTATTATGGGACGTTGGAATTCAGTCCTTAAGAAGCTTAGAATTCAAGAATGTTGGAGTCCAGTATTTGCAGATGCCAGGATACAGTATTTGAGAATATCGGAATGCAGTAATTGGAAATATCGGAATATGTATTTAGGAATAAATAATCTGAACAAAAGTCGTGGGCGGAGCACTTTGACGTCTCTGTATGGGTTACCGGTTACTTAATTTGAGGGAGTTCTTCACAATATGAATGTAAGCCTTTGCGTTCGTATAAATTGGTCTCGCATGAGCAACCGTTGTATATTATGTAGCAATACTTGTCTTCATCTATACAAATATCCTCTACATTTCTCTAGTGAAATGTTCCGATTCTAAACCTAATTTCAGCGATGCCTTCCCTTGGAACCTAAGCGCTGTGAGACTCAACCCCGAGGGACGCCAGTTCTACAAACCGAAATGGACGCTTTCGATATCAAGAGTCATACGAGTATTTATTTGTCCGTAGTGTATTAGGGGGGGGGGGGTTATCACCATCAAATCAGGATATTATTGGTGTGATTATAAGTATTTCATGAGTGAGAGAGATTGATCTGAAGACTGAAAAAAACAATGCTTTAGTGAGAAAGTAACGGTTAAAAATGATTGGTTAATTACTGGGCGAATTTTGAATAATTGTCGTTGTTGTTATCATTATTGTTATCATCATCGTTATTATTATTATTATCATCATTATTATTATTATTATTATTATTATTATTATTATTATTATTATTATTATTATTATTATTATTATTATTGTTATTATTATGATCATCATCATTATTATTGTTATTGTTCTTATCATTATTATTACTACTACTCTTATCATTATAGTAGTAGTAGTAATATATGTCTCATTAGTATTAGTATCACCAATATTACTCGAAAAGCAGTATACAAAAGTAGTATGGAAAATAGAATACATTTTTTTTCAAGGCCTCAGGTTCCACTTGCTTTCTATACTCAACTACTCTATATACGTTACTTGTATACAACTCTCCTTTTCTGTTTATGTTTGCTATGTATGCTGCAATCGTGGAATTGAACTGCTCTCACTGAATTGGTAGTCTGGCTCCGTCTCCACAATTCAGCTAATGGCTTTTGTGTGTGTGTTCTTTTCCAATCAAATTCGTGTTATTTGTCCATGGTTAACGATCGAGGCGGGCAAAAGGAAAACAAATACTTTTGAAAAAATAAAGATGAAAGAGAAGGTACGATAAAGGAGTAAACAAAACTATATAGCTATACGTTTTAATCCTAAATGGCTTAGGTTATCA